GCCTCCCCACGCCGACCCCTCAGCTGCCGCTCGGTGTGTCCGTGCCGGCAGCAGCGGCGGGCAGTCCCCACCGGGCTGGTCCCCACCCGAAGGCAGGGGCAGAGGAGCAGCTCGGCACTAGATGCCACGGGCAGCAGGGCATGGAGCTGTACGTGGGGAGCAGGGCCGCCTCTGGCGTGGGAAGCCCGTGTGTGTAGGGCAATGGACTGTGTTTATGCAGAGACACGGGTGGGTTCGTTTTGATGAACCACATGGAGTCAGGCACACGGGCAACAGACCCACCTGCAAGCTGGGGGGTCACATTCTGCAGGGCATGGTGTGGCACTGAGTCAGCAAAACCTGGAACTTTCTGCAGACACCCTTAGCTGGGAGTCCTTTGTGTTAGCAGTAGTTTCTCTATCTTAGAGTAGTTAATTCAGAACAGGAATTAGTGTAACAGCAGAACCAATGAGAAGCTGGGGTTGTATGAAATTAAAGACGGTTTTGCACCACTTGGCACAGTCCTTATTTTACATGGTATGAAATAAGAACGATACGGCCATTTTCCTGTTGAAACACAGGCCAGAAGTTGTTTCCCTTCACTGGACCATCTGTGTTCATATGTGAGCCCAAGCATTCATGTGTGAACACAGGCCTATACCTTGCCTTATAAATATTTTTTTTTTTACTATTCAGTCATCCAAGCGGGAAGCAGAAACATCGCTACGAGATTCAGCTGACCAAATGAGTAGCTACTGAAGACACAGGGGAGCACACAGCACACAGGAAAATGAGTATAAATAATTAGCCTTAGCAACATTTGCAGGCTGGACTTTCCATCATTGTTGCATCACAAGGTCACACACTCAACCAGAGACAGTATATGAAACTTTACAATGTGAATAATGGGATAATATCCTGCAGGCTTTGGCTTCAGGACTAAACAGCTGGTTTGCAGTTGTAGTGAACTCAGTGACAAAAGATGTTTCATGGAATCAACCGTGAAATCAGATTTTGCATACATTAAGGCTTTGGACCAGTCCTTACATTATGCATTACAGAGTGCATGGGAAAAATCTCAAAAGAAAGGTGCCAGGATTTGTTAGTGTTCAGAGGCATCCATTCCTTGTTGATACTACAATTATAATTCTTCCCTAAAGGGTGAAGCTTGGAATTCTTTCTGGACCACTGACACTGGGGGCACTGTCCAATATCGTTCTTGCACAATAAAATAGTAAGAATTTTGTCCTGAGAATAGATTTATGGATAACAGGAGAGACCTTGCCTTCACTGGCAAAAAAAAAAAAAAAAAAAAAAAAGAAAAAAAAAAAAGAAAAAAAAAAAAAGAAAAAAAAAAGAAAAAAGAAAAAGGGAAAAAATTAAAAATAATGGAAAAAATAAAAAGGTCTTGCCTAATTCTTGGAAACTATAACATCTACATCTACATGTAACTCAGTTGCAGTGAGAATTCTTTATTAAAAAAAGAACTCAAAAGCTTCTGCAGCAGTAGGCACATCCTAGGTTGGCACATCCTAAGTAATAAATTGACCCTTTCTTCTGCTCTACCTCTCCAGAAAGGGCAAAAGACTCTCATGACTCATTCCAAACTCACTTAGTTTTCTAGATTATGGGAAATTGTTCTAGAGATATAGGGTATACAACCTATGACAAAGCTCAACTACTACAATTTCAGCAGTTCAACAAAACAGTAATAAAAAGGATACAGGGCTACATTTTTGCATGAGAGAGCTCTACGAAGGTAAGTGGTAGTTGGCAGAATAAATTGTTACTGATAATGGTAAGACCCAGCTGAAGTATCCCAAATGGTTTGAGATCAAATATCTTACTGTTACCATGACGAGTGTTTTTCCTGTACTTGTAGAATGACTTCCTCTCAGATGTCTTATAACCAAACATGCATTTGTATGGCCAAAAATCTACATTCCTGAATTCTCCAGATGAGCAATTCTCCTCTTTCCACAAACTGTTAACCATGTTTGAGCAGCAGAGGCACCTGCCTTACCACTTGGTTGCTTACTGAAATATAAAAGAAAAAAATTCTGCTATTACTGTGTCACAGTAGTTATATAAATCCTAATGCAGACATTTTTCTTTCCTCTTTGCTTTATGCTGTCTTAAAACCAGCATGCAATTCTTACTCTGAAATACGTGTGCATGCTGGCAATGTGCAGTTGTTGCACAATCTTCAGCAGAGCAGTGATACCACAGTAGCTCTTTGTTAGCAAATTCTCTGTGTAAACAAACCCCGTGCACCTCACAGGCTGAAATTACAACTTTTGAAAGTGCGAACTTCATGCACATGGGAACTCTGTTCTAGAAGGCTTCAGAGTGTAGTAATTCTGTCAAAGAAAGTAGTATTTTGCTACTGTCAAAACAACAAAAATGCTGTCTAGCATTTTGGTGTTCTTTATCTATATCTATTATCTATTGCTAGTTTACCCTGCTGGTACTTGCCTATGATCGCCTCCTGCTCTCAACTTGTGCTTTCAAGTTGGCTTTGAAGTGGGTGATAGTATCTTTTTCCTTATACTGTTGTACAGAGACAGAAGGAGGGGAGCCTGAATTTGGAAGTGGTCTCCGCCTTGCAGCCACTAGAAGCCAGAAGTCTTGGCAAGCAACACAAGCAGACAGGAGAGCATTGGATGATGTCTGGGATTTTGGCCTCTGACATCATCTGTGAGGTAGCCTTGCCTCATACTCATTAAGCAAATAGTTTTCAGAAGAGCTGCCTGAATCACATGTGAGGTTTGGGGAGTAGGACCCAGATGTTTGTAGAACAAAATGAACAAATTGTCGTTCAGGTGAGAGAATTAAGATTGGTAGGACAGCACTGCCACATGCTGAAGAGGTAGAAGAAAGCAGGTTGAATGGGAACATTCGTGGTAGGATGGGTGTTTGGGAATGACCAGTGGCTGTATCCCATATTTGCAAAGCTGGGAGTGCAACACAGGTTATTGAGGAACACACATGTTGTTCCCCTGGTGTGCAGTGTGGGTGTTGTGTCTAGAGGTTCTGAAAGTTGGGTGAAGGAGAAGTTCACACAGGAAAATGTGAAATATACAGCTGATACAATATAGTGAAAGAAAAGGGTGTGGTACCGAGGAAACTGAGTAGGTGTGCCACAGAAACTGATCAACAAGGTGTGCTGGTTGATAAAGGGAATGTGTCATATTTGTTTGCTGCCAGCAATTATTTTAGAGAAGTAGGGCAGCAAGGGATGGTGCAGCCCTGGCTACACGCTGGGTATGTCAGGCACATGATGCTGTATGATGTGTGGCATGGGGGACATGTCACAGGACATAAGGTGAGAGGACATAGGCTTAAGCTGTGCCAGACAAGGTTTCTGCTTAATATTAGGAAGAATTTCTTCACTTTCACACAAGAAAGCGTGATTAGATATTGGAAAGATCTGCCCAGGGAGGTGGTGGAGTCATTGCTCCTGGAGGTGTTTAAGGAAAGACTGGATGTGGCACTCAGTGCCACGATCTACTGCCATGGTGGTGTTTGGTCAAAGGTTGGACTTGGTGATCTCAGAGGTCTTTTCCAACCAAATCGATTCTGTGGTTCTGTCACACATTTACCTGTCACACGAAGTACAAGGGTTCTGGCTTTGCACACTACATGCCAAAGCAGCAGCAACAAGCACAACAGGTATTGTATGTTTTGCTGCACTGACAGATGGAGCAACTGGGTGGGCATGGCAGGATCTGGGCTGGGGTCTGCCCAGGGCAGTTGGAGCTGGACCGAAGCCCAGTCTGGGGTGGGGGAGAAGGGCAGGAGAGGGTGTGAGGAAGAGCATGAGGAAGAGCTTTGTCAGCAGGCCATGGGATGTGATCCTGCCCCTCTACTTGGCCTTAGTGAGGCTGCATCTGGAGTGCAGCGTCCAGTCTGGGTTCCTCAGTAAGGAGAGACATGAAGCTCCTGGAGCAGGTTGGAGGGGGAATGAGGATGATGAGGGGACTAGAGCAGCTCTCTTGCAAGGAAAGGCTGAGAGACTGGGGCCAGTTCAGCCTCGAGAAGAGAGGGGACCTTAGCAATGTCTACAAGCAACTAAAGGGGGGATTCCAAGGGGATGGAGCTAGGCTCTGCTTGATGGTGCCAACCACTAGGTCATGAGGCAATGGGCAGAAACTGATTCTCTGGAAGTTCCACCTGAATATGAGGAAGAACTTTGCTGTGCAGGTACCAAGCACTGGAACAGATTGCTCAGAAAGGCTGTGGAGTCTCCCTCACTGGAGATATTTGAGAACTGTGTGGACACAATCCTGTGCCATGCGCTCTGGGATCGCTGGCTGGAGCGGGCAGATTGGACCAGACGATCACTGCGGTCCCTTCCAACTTGACCCATTCTGTTGGAGGCCTCAGCCGTTAGACAGGAGTGGCCTCAGCAACCTCAGCGGTGGTGCCGCCGCTCACGAGTTCAGTTCGGTTCGGGCCGATCCGGTTCGGGCCCGTCCAGTCCGGTTCGGCTCGGTCCGGTCCGAGGCATCCCGGCGCCGCCGCCCTCGCGCTCCCCCGCGCCCGCCCCGCGCGTGCCAAGCCCGGCCCGGCCGTTACGGCACCGCCGCCGCTTCGCTGTGAGGCGGCGGGAGCGAGCGCGGGAGGCGGCGGCGGGCGGGGGGCTCGGTGCAGGGAACAGCCGCGGCCTCCTCGCCTCAGCCGCGGGGAGGAGGGACACCGAGGAGGGGGAAGGCGGGGTGGTGGTGGGGGGGGACGAGCAGAGCGTCGCGTCGCGTCGCTCGCTTCCCTCTAGGACCGCGCCGCCGGCGGGGAGGAAGGGGCGCGTCTCCCCGGAGCCTTCGTCGCCCCGCGCCCTCCTTCCCAGGCCCGGTGCCGGAGGGGGTGGGGGTGGGCGCCCCGCGGGTCCCCTCAGGCTCGGCGGTGCCCGGGGCGGGTGAGATGTCGGGCTGAGCGGGCGCGAGCCCGCGGGGGTGGGGTCCGCCGTGCCCGGGGAGGGGGCGGGCGGGGGGGTGGTTGGGACCGTCCCCTCACAGCCGTCCCGCCCCGCCGCGCTGCGCCCATGGTGATTGTGCTGCATCCCCCGCGCGCGGAGCGGGGCGAGCTGCCCGCGCCTCCCCGCCGCGCCCGCCGGGGCGCCCAGGTGGGTGGCGGAGGGGGAGCGGCGGCGGCGGCGGCCGCTCGTGGTGCGAGGGGAGAGGGGCGGGAGGGGCGGGGGGGCCGCGCCCCCGGCCCGGGACCCGCGTTCCGCGGGCGGGTCGGTCGCGCTGCGAGCGCGGGGTGGGGGCCGCCGCCCCGCGGGCTCGGTCGGCGGCCGCGTCCCCGCACGGGTCCGTGGGGATCGGCGGTGGCTGTGGGGGCTGATCTTCACGTGATGGAGCCAGGGGGTGTGTGGCTGGCGTTGGGTCTGGCAACAAGATCTTCCCAACTAGGTTTCCTCTCCCCTTTTGTTTTCCGATGTTTAAAAAAGAGCTGGTGGCACCTCGGTGCCTTTACTGCCTGAGATCTTACCAGGGGCTCCGTGTTCCAAGCGTGCCACTCTGTTAATCTTGGATTGATTCCATCATTTAAGCAAGCATCCTCTAGACATGTTATTTTGGTTTGGGTTTTTTTTTTTCTTTTTTTTTTGTCATCGTTTATAAACCGCTGTTTATTTTCTGTGGCAGCGTGGGTTTTAATGCATGGGAGTACATGGTCCTAATGCATAGGAATACACACTTCTGAACTGAAATGTACTTTTCTCCAGTCTCATCTGAATCCTAAGGGTTATTCTGGGGGAGATGTTTAAAGGTTTAAAGGCTCACAAATAAATAGGAATAGTTTTTGTAGGTTTAGAAACTTAATTTCCTCATATGTTCCCCTGTAGGTACGGATTTATCTATCCATTGAACGTACATTTTTAAGTAAAAGGACAAACTGCTTAGCTTTGTGGGCTTTTTCCCCCTTAGAATTGGTTTCTGTGATTTGTGTTAAATACTTCAAGTTGCACATTTCCCCTAATTATGTTCATGTCATCATTTTCTTTTGACTTTGCTTACTGTTTTGAATAGCACCTTTTCTTCCTTTGGGATTTAGTTTATTTCATGCCTTTGTATGTTTATGTCTAATAGGGATGTTTCTTCTTTTTTTTTTCCTCCCTAGGTGTTGGTGACTTCAGTCATTTAGGGGTTTAGTTCTGAGGAAGCAGAGACACAAGGATTGAGTTTCTTTTACATAGAAAGCTACAGCTCTTCACCAATACTCTTTTTACTCCTTCCCATCCTTCCCTGCTCCGTAGGGGAGAACAGTTTGGGAATTATTTTAAACATTCATTTACTCCCCCTTCCCTCCCTCAGAAATCTACCCTGGTCCCAGAGGCATCCGCTAGACAGTGCCTGACAGGACCAGGAGAGTGCTATCATAGCTTGCTTGCTTTGGGAGCTTCAGTAGTACCCTTCCCTCCTTTGGGGTGTAGTGCAGGGAGGCACCCAGGAGACTTCCGTGCCACCCTTTTTGGTTAGTAGAGGATCCAGGAAAAGGGGTACCTAGCAAGACACGTGACCTCCTTAAGGGAGCCAGAACTGAAGCAGCACTTGGCACGCTGAAGGAAACACCCATCTTTAGTGTCTTTTTCGTCTTCCACTCCTTCCTCACCAAATTTCTGGTAAGTCTCTTCAGCCCATTCATTCACGCAGTGCATGTTTCCCTTCCCCCACTCCAGGCGCTGGGAGAGGCATGCACGGAGACTGTGGGGTGGGGGAAGGGAGGAGGGAAAACTGGCTGTGTACACACGGATCGGGGAGGAGAGGGGGTATTATTGTACCACACTGCGGGGGAACCTGGCACAGGTGGAAAAGCAGCTGATGTGGGAGGAAATGGTGTGTTTTATTTGCACCCGGGTGTGCGTGCGCACACAGGGACAGTGGAGGGGCGTGAAAAAGCTGAGAGCCTGTTGTTGGAAAAAATACCAAGACCAAAGTAGAAGGATGGCTGATACTGACCAGTATTGGGCTCATGTTGCAGGGAGGAAAGAGAATGGATTATTCGGTGGTGACTGGGAAGTGGGGTGTGTGAATGAGGAATCTTGCCTTCTACTTGCAAGCGTGAGCACAGAGCAGGAAAGATGGGGGGTGTGGATGTCCGCCTTTCAGAGGCAGCTGTGCCTGGGAGGATTGCTGCTAGCATCTTGAACATCACTCAGTGCAAAGGTGGAGACAAGGAGATGAAAGCCATCATGGGGAGTGCAGTTGCCCGTCTGCAGGGGTGGGAATGAATGGGAACAATTAATATATTCCCATGTCCTTTGGCTGTGGCAGTCTACAAATCTCAAAGGGAAAAGGAGGTGAATACTGTGATGTGCTTTCAAAGAGGTGTGCTTGGGGTTCACCTGCCTGCAGAGACTTTCAGTTCTCCGATGCATGTGTAGAGGGTGGATGATAATGCAGCAGCAGTGGACAGATTGTGCTGCAGCTTTTCAATATATTATATAAAATGCATTTAAAGAAATATTTTAATTTTTCAGATTCTTCACCTTTTAAAAATGTGTTCTTTCCAAAGATTCTCAAACAGTTATGTGACAGTCTTAGGAAAACTAGTTTCTGGTACATAAAAGAGGAATTTTTCTTGATGTTGGCCTTAAGCATCACCATGAAGCAGCATTGTCAGGAACGAGTTGACTTATCTTGGATTTATTTTTCTAAAGATGTCAGTTCTTTTCTCTATCACCATGTGATATATTCATCATCCATACATATTTCGTAACATTTTTTAAGATGATCATCATTCTGGTATCTTTGTGTGGAAAAAAAAATCACTTGTGCTTTATGCTCGAAACAGCTGTGAACTGTTTGCAGACCTGCTCTCCCTATGACATACAAAGTCCTATTTCTGGGGTGTTTCAGATACTGCTCTCTTCTCATTAAGATGAGACAGAGATTTCCATGACAGTGTATGATAGATTACATGCTGGGTCATGTGCTGGACAACTGTTCATTAGCTGTTTAACTGGTCTGCTATCTGAGATTGACTTTATAATTCAGATCTGCCTTGAGGTGTCTCCTGAAGGAGGTAACTTGCAAGCATCTGCCAACCATTCTTAGGTCTTCACTGTCTTGAAATGCATCCTTCCAGCCATTCTAGAAGCTGCTGTAATGGTAGAGATGATTGGTTTTTTTGGAAATGTGTACTCAGTTGCAAGCCTTAGCTAATTTATGATGAAAAGTAAGTCAAAATACCTTTTCCAGCTTGAATAGCACTGTTCTGAAAATGAGTATTAAGGGATAAACATTAATGGTGTTGTTAATGTTACTCATAGTGAGGTGGGTGCTTGGAGCAATGTTTTTCCTAGTTCTCCTTTTCCCATGGTGGTTCTGACCTGTCAGTCTTTTGCTCATTCCTTCTCAATTCCCTGAGATTTTTATTGTGGGTATCTCAGATGTAAGAATTAAACATGCCTAGAGGTATGCTAAGTTAGGTTTTACCTCTCTTTTAAACACTGAAAACTGTGGAGTTTGTGTTATCTGCACAGTGCTGTAGCTGAGAGTCTGAGCCAAGCTCTAAAAAAGGGGAGATTCTGGGAGGGGCTGCTGGTAATAACTGTTCCACTAAGGTGTTTCCCAGATCCCACTGTAGGCAGTGGGTGTGTGCTGTAACATCAGATCACAGCTTGAGCAGGTGGAATAGCTAGATCACATTGATCCTTGATGCTATAAACATCTGGGATTCCATTCATTATTCCCATAGGGAAGACACAACCCAGACTTTTTAATTTACAAAAGCATTGAGTAGTTGCATCGTGAACAAAAAGAATATTGAATTTTTTTTGCATACTAGATACCTTTTATCTTACGCATTTATCAATAATACATGAGTTAATCAGTATCTCCTAAAAATGGGTTTCTTGCTTCATCTTAAGGGAAATACATCATGGTGAAAAAGAAAAAGAAACGAGTCTATTTTTCTCCTACTTTTGGGTTTTGAAGACAGGAGAACGAGTAAATGAGCCATGGAGACTAATCTCCCATTCCTGGAGGGAGAGGGAGGTCTCTAATCTTCTCTGAAGAGAACACCTCCTTCAAGGCAAAAAGAGTGGTCTTCAGAGAAGATTTCCAGATCTCTCTAGACAGCTGATCTGATTGGCTGAATTCTCTGTTATTTCAATAAAACATATTCATACATGATGTAAAGTAGAAAAGCAGCACAGTGAGTGCTTTTGTTAGAGCAGCTGCTAGAGGTGTACTGCAGATTGAAGGAATGTGGGAGGAAATAGGTTTGCATGTGCTGGGGAGGGAAGGAAGCTGCTGTGTGATTGCTGGAGTAAGGCCTGGCTTAAGCAGGATAAGGGTGCCACAGCTGAAAGTTGGGGTGAGCTTTCATTCCCTCTGTAAATTGCAAGGAATCTGTTCCATGCAGTGTATTCCTGAAGCAGTTGTGGCAGTGTCTGCTTGGCTGGAGTGACACACAGTTTGATTTTTATCACAGACCTTTTACTTTGATACCACCCTTTTTCCTTCTCCCAGTCTGCTACATGCAGTTAATTTTATGATTATTTTTTGCCTTCGAATTTCATAAATCTGTGAAGTAGTTATTGAAAGATTGTACTTACTTTGACTGTAGTAGCTTTGAGTGAAAAGTGCACTTGAAGTGGCCATCTTGAAGTTATTTAAACATCTGCTCTTCCCCTTATATATACCATAGTTACTTTGCAATAGATGCTCTCATGGATTAGGAAGTATTCTTTGCACACCCAGCATTGTCTGAGGCTGTGTCTTTTAGATTGAAATGGGTGGAGCTGGTTTTCAGGGAAGAATTCTGGCAGTAATATCCAAATTCAGAGCATAATGCTTTTGTGCATCTGACTGCAAGTCCAGCTTTCCTCCTACAAACCATTTTCTTGAGAATGTGGAAGGGATTTTTAAGATATTTGGGTTAATAGGGTAAATGCAAGTTTTTTTTATGTGAGATTTCTTACACAATCAAAATAGATTATTAGGTGAGACTGAAACTGATGAATATATTCTGGTTTTAGGAGCAGAATGTTAGAAAAAGAAATTCTTTTGGGTAGAAGAGAATTATGCTATTGGGTTGGAGGTGAAGGATCCATGATTTAGGACTGCTAGTTTCTGTCTCTGCTGCTGGCTTGTCGCTTGTTCTAAAGTGAGCTTCTCAGTCATTACTTGCGGACTTGAGATTGCTACCTGCCTTTCTTATGGTAAGATGGGAGCTTTTGTATATACATTCATGAAACCATTAAGATTTTCAGCAAATGAGATGTAGTATTAGGAGAGAGATGAATAGCCATACCCAAGGCATTTTTATACACCTGCTGGTTTAATATCCTCATTGATATATGGACGACCCTTCTTGACAATGTTGTAATTTCTTTCAAAAGTAGAAGATGGAGGAAAGAGAAGGATATTAGCTGACTTTTAAGGAATTAAGTGCTGAAATGACAGTCAGGGAAAGGTGATAGAGTATTTAAGGGGGTGGAGGTGGGGCCACATAGAGAAGAGATTTGTGAAAATTTGAAGCAGATTGGCAAAGAAAGCAAAAATGGGGAGAAAATACTTGGTTCTTGTATTAGTGTTAGAACCAGTACTGAGGGGGAAAAAGCCTCAAACCACAGAAACCCAAACTAAAACCCCAAGCAGGCAGAAATATGTGATGGTATCTGATTTATGTCTTTTTCCTTTAACGCTGAGGAATCGTGTGCGGTGTGTTTTTCCATGCCCCGGGCGTTCTCCCGCGGTTGTGTGGGATGTGCCCGTCCGGGCCGGGGGCAGAGCGGCGCTGCCCGGCAGGGGCGGCAGGTGGCGCTGCTGGGCCCGGCCAGCCCCTGTGCAAATGGCAGCGCTGAGGGGCAGTGCCCGGGCCCCGGGCCTGCGGCGGGGGCATTCCTGCCCCACAAACACAGGCTGTGCCGCCGCCCAGCACAGGATGTTGTTCCAGGAAGTTCCCTGTAAACTACCGCGTCCAGACATGCATTGTTGAGGGAGACATAAGTGGGGCAGGGTCTGAGAGATGTCAGCCATTGCCAGCCCAAGCCTCATCTTGTCCTTTTCACTTCGAGCTGCTTTGAAGAACAAAGAGGTTCTTGAAGAGATCAAAAGATACTCCTTATAACCTCCCACACCCATTTTTCTGCGGAGAGCAAATGCTCTTTTTCCTGCTTTACCTTGAACATCTTGACTGCATTGAAGGGCTGGTCTGGATCTGTGATCGTGTTTCCATAGCTTCTGCCTTTTTCCAGTCTGTTAGTATGAAGAACTGTAGTTCTTGGCTTTATTGTTGCACCTCATTTACTAAATCAATGAAAAAAAAGTCACAGTCTTTGTGTGTTGTTACTATGGTTCTCAGTACCAGGAATAAAAATGTCCACTTAAAATTTTGTTTTCTTATTAAGAAAAGGTTGTTGTGGTTGAAAAAAAAAGTTTTTTAATACTAGAAAAACCTAGCTGTTTCTTAAGGTTGTAACTAAACAATCCTTTGTCCTAAGACCTGCTGCAGAAACTAAAATTCTTTGTAATATCAAGTGATAGCAATTATATACTAAAGGTGGTTTTATATTTACATTGTCTGCTGACAGCAGTCATGACTACCAGGCAAAATTTCTGTTTCTATCTCAGAGTTCAGTTCTGCTAGGAGCTCATGTCAGTTACATTGGTGAAAGTTATGATTTTTTCATCTTTACTTTAATAGGAAAGTTTAAAGGTGGTACAGAAAACCATTCTGGTTTTCTCCAGAATTCCTGTTCCCTACACCATGGCTTGTTTTTCTTGAACATAAAGGAGTAGTCCATTTATGCACCTGTAACTGGTTTACAGCTTTAAAAATAATTCAGTAAAAATATATTCAGTCAAAAATTGTCCAAGCACTCCAAAGCAAAAGGAGCAGTCCCTTGCTATTATCTCTTCTAATCCTATTGAAATTCTTCAATTTGAACTGTGTTTTCAGTTCTTGGGCCTGAATTCATTAGTGCTGTTTATATATAAAGGTGATTTAAAAAAAGTATTTTGAACCAAGAAAGGGCTACCACTGAAACTCTGGCCTAGATTTTGCTTTATTTCATGTGTGTTAATGTCCTGACATTTTTTTGGTGCTCCTTGTACCATTGGTTTTTCCATTATTATGTGTTCTGGATACTACTTCATCTAGTTCTAAGTATATCTCACAGCAGATGTGAAATATTTGTGAGAGCAAAACAGTCCTAAATAGTTACCTAGAACATTCTGTGGGAATGAATTTCTGTTCTTCTGGTCTGCTTTTTTAACATAAAGAGTTTATCACACTCTACTGTTCTATATGTGGGGGAAAGAGACGACTCGAGTCTGTCACTGGGTTTTTAGCAGTGCCTAGGAGAAGGGCAGAGTTATTTCAGTAGAAGGAGTTATCCTAATCATGAAGCTGAAATTCTGGCCTTCAGACGTGGCCATTCAAATTGTTTTCAGTTACATCTTTGTGTACTTCTTGAGGAGAAAGCTGGGATGAGGACCAAGACCTAATTTCTAGCATTTAGTGTTCATGGAATGTAAATGGATTTGTTTCTGTTGTTGGTACTTTTGTTTGCAGAGTAGGTGTAGACATTATTTTGCTTCTTGGAGGTTGGAAGTCTGTTGGAATGGACTGACTTGTGCAGAGGAAGTGGGACTTAGTACAGCAGGGATCATGAAGATAAGAGCCTGTGTACTCTAACAGAGTCTCATCTTCTCCTCTGTCTAGCAGTTCCATTGGAAGGAGGCCTTGAAGGTTGCAAGACAAGTCCAAGATGTGCAGTTCAGTTGCTCCCAGGCTGTGGTTCTTAACAGACCGCCGCATCAGAGAAGATTACCCTCAGCAGGAGATCCTGAGAGCCCTGAAGGCCAAGTGCTGTGAAGAGGAGCTGGATTTCCGGGCCTTGGTGATGGATGAGGTGGTGCTGACCATTGAGGATGGAAATCTTGGTGAGAATGAACTAAGGCTGGGAGGGTGCTGAAAGGGTACTTGGAAAAAGATTGTAAAATGGAGCATTGGTACTGTTTAATAACAAATCCCATGTATGCCAGACTACCTGCCATTCATCATCTAAATCATGTAGATGTACATCATACAGGTTTTTTAGAAAGTATTATGGTAATCAAATATAATTGTTCAGTTTGCTAATTTGCATTAGAACCACTTTTACCTTTCCTCTGCAGAAAAGAGAGGAGGATTGTTTCATTTTGGTGAGTCCAGGGTAAGGACTACAGGACCCCTGAATTAATAAGAAATCATGGAGCTTAATTTTTACTTCGGTACTTGAACTTTGTGGGTCACATTTAAGAGTTTCAGAGGGACTTTTTTCTTCTGTTTGTGTTCTGGCTCCAAAATAGAAAACACTGGAAATAATCTAAAAGGAATTTTCAATGAACAGTACAAAGTGTCATGGAACTAGAGGTTATAATGTGATGTAACTAAAGCATGCTGCTGTATGGATGGGGAGTTATGTGAATTCCAAAAAAGAACAGTGCTGATAAAGTATGTGCATCAAATAATTTGAGCTATTACTGCAATTTACAGTATTTAAACTAAATGGTAAGATTTCTGTTCTATTTTTCTTCTAGCTTTTTTTTTTCCTGTGATGATTAAAAAGGAAAAGTAAAATGTTAAGTTGCATTAGAAATGTTAAGTAAAAGGATTATTACTATCTTATTACTTACTATATGTTACTGTAGATAGTAAGCTTATGTGATGGGAAGATACTAATACCACCAATGTCAAGCTGTGTAACACTTATAATTTATTTCTGTTTCAACATTTTTTAATTTGGATTTCCTAAAGCAAGGAGATTGCAGTGGGTTTTTTTTACCTTTAACTCTTTCATTCCTCTTTCCCATTTATCAGTCAAAAAACATGTATTGCTGGAGATCCAGGGAAGAATTACATTTCTGAAAGTTGTATTAGAGTAATTCTGTGTGGGAAGAAAACATGAAAGTCTCTCAGCTGTGAAGAAGAGGCTGCCATGTATACCTTGTTCCTCTTCGGGTAATCATATGTGGGAAGGGAATCATAAAACTGACTCTGGGGAAGAACTTTGGTCAGAATTGATACCCTATTTTGGCATGAATCAATCAACTAAAAACAAATGCATGGTAAATCCACTATTTTTTATTCTGGTATTTCTAAACTTCTGTTTACCTATATTGTCTTTTAATCAGAGGAGTCTTATGATTTTTATCGCAGACAGAAATTCTGTAGGATGTCTTCAAATCAAGGTAGCTTCTTGTCAGAAAGTCTGAGCTCTGAGCGTGCTTTCCTTTGGACAGTGTGTGATGGGAACACAGCCATCGTGGACTGTAGCTGCAGTCTCTGAGATGCATAATTAGTCCTTCAGCATTTCAGTACTGTTTGTTATTTCTTGGTGATTTCTTCTTTTCTGTCTTCTGTCTATTTTTGGGGAACGAAATAGGGCAAGTGTGAATTGTGGACCTTTCTGCTCTCTTCTGTCTAATGTCTCCTAGCACTGTGTCTATTGCAAGGAAAATGATAAAAGTGGTGCACGTTGGAAAACTAATATTGAAGAATGTGTAGTCCAAGAACAAGAAATATTAAGAAAATTTCTAGAACAAAATACAAGAAAAGGGAAATTATTCTCATACAGAGTATTCATTCAATATGATGTAAATAACTGACCATTTGAAAAAGAGTGAGATAAAAATGCTGAAAAATTGTGGATAGAATTTTTTTTAATAAGTAGTCTGGTCTGTCTAATTGTGTTGGTTTTTTTTTTTTTTTTTTTTTTTTTTTTTTTTTTTTTCCTGAGGGGTGAGAATTGTCTTGTATCAAACAATTCTTTCTCTTGGAGAGCAATGAAAAATCTTCTCTCTTAATTTTCCAGTTGTGTTTTTTCTAGAGCTTTTGCTTTGGTAAAGATTTCTGCTAGAGGACACAAGCAAAAGCTTTGTGTTTAATTTTCCTTTTTAAAAACCTCAGTTGGCCTAGGAAAAGGTATCCTGTAACAAAATCCAGGAGGTAGTGCATTCTGTACCCTTTTTGTTACCTACTGTTGTGTGAGGGATCCAGATTGAGTAAAATTTTCTATGACATAGAGGAGTTGATGAAGAGAATTTATCTTCAGTGGATAATCGTGTGCTTTTGCTTCCTTTTCTATTATTATTTGTCTTGAAAGCTTGGCAATTCAAGGCTCAAATTCTGAAGGTAATGCATGATACTGAAAGAAATAATAGTTGGGTTTTTTTCCATATATTCACACTTTGATTGGAGCTTTTTTTGTCTTTTAATACCAAGACAATTTCTTAGGTAAATTGTTAGAAGAATGTTAAATTTACACAGTCAAGTTGGATACTACAGGGTGCTATTTAAAACCTCAAAAATTTGGTATTTCTTTAGATGATAGAGTCAGTAATCCTTCTTGTGGACTTGCTGACTGTCAGGAACATGGCTGGAGACTTCAGAGACCAAAAATTTAGTATAAGATATTAAAAAGCTTGAATTATTTACTTCACAGGGGTAGAGTGGAAAAGACACTTCTAAATTTAGGAAAATTGAGCAGAACCATGGAATACATACATGTGAAAATTGTCCCTTCCACAAACCACATGACTTATACCTTAACAGTAGAGCACACTGATGCAGATATCACTGATGCCCAGGCCAAAGTCAGAAGCTTTTGTGATGCTGAGATTTACAAAATTTGTGTCTATCAGATGTGATAGGATTTGCTATAGCCAAAGAGAAAGGGGAAGGAGGGGAGTTGTTTCACTCAGTGGATTCAGCAGCAGCCACTCCGTGGGGCAGGTCTCTGCTGTACTGCAGGGCTGGATGGGAAGTGTGGCTGGATTCCCAAAGCAAACCAACAGTGTAGGCACAGCAATCCCTGCTAGTTCCTTTTCTTTCACAGCTGAAACTCAGGATGACCCAAAATCCCAAATACCCCATACAAGCCCCATATCAGCAGCCACATGGTGAACCTGTATGCAGCTCAAGATCCACATTAGATACATCAACACAGCATGAGTCCAGAAGTGATTGTAAATCCAAGTTAAAAGATGTGGAATTCGTTTTTCCTTTTTAGCCTAAAAGGAGATTCTTAAACTGATTTATGCTTAAACGCTTTTGGAAATAAGTTCAACAAGTATTTTTTGACATTAACTGTGGTTTATGCCTTACTTGAATAGGTGTCTGCTTACCCAAGCCATGCACTCCTTTATCTTTTCCACAGTGGCAGTAGTACTCTGTAGATTTCCAAGGGAAAAACTGAGAAAAAATAAGTGGAAGAGTAGAGCTATATAAATTCTTTCTGCTTCTCTGGTGGGTTGAGTGTGCTGAGATGGTTACTGAATCAGACATGCACAACATTGTTGCACAGGAATGGACAAGAATGCATGTGTGGAAAAAAAGTGGAGGGTGATACTGGGCTGGTTTGATTTAAACTTGTGCTGTGTAGCTGTAGCCTAAGTTTCTTAAGAGCTAAATTCATGAAACTAAACCAGTCTAGGACAATCTACTGCCGAGTGGAGCATCTGTGTTCCTCTTGTCCTTCTCCAGCATTGCTCTTGCTGCTTGCCTTGTAAAGGACTTCATGTCTCTCTTGTCTTGCTTTCATGTTGTACCTCAGATAATTAAAAAAAAAAAGCTTCTCTCTGTCTGCTACTTTGCAGGATCTTGCATTTGTGCGAGTTGAGTTGGCCAATCCAATGGAAGATTACCTCCACCAAATAATTAACAGTTTTCTGTTGGATTAGATTGTTGCACTAACCCTTTTTGTGGTCACACAGTTCCTAGCTCTGGTACACAGGCAAGGAAGAACGGGGTTGTTCTTTCAGGGAATGGCTTGTATTTATGTTGATTTAGCTATAGCTCCAGAAATACTTCAAAACAGGAATTTTCTTGTGGTTGAAATGTCTGATTGTGTCAGCTTTAGGATTATTTTGTTTGTGCATGGCATTTGGTATTTACCAGATGTAAGAATTACAAACTGAAATGTCTAGTTTTCTAATCTAGTTTGGCAATTCCTATATTTATTTGAAATACAAATACAAATAGCAACTAATGCAACAAACTCTGCAGGACATTTTTTAGACATTTATTTGAAGTCTTAGCAGTGAGTCCTGTCAAAATGTGTACTTTTAAACTATATGTCTAAGCTTGCTAATGCAGTCATGTAACAGGCTTGAGGAGTTTGCAGCTAAACAAATTACAGCTTGTGAGCAGGGGTGAGTAGTGTGAGATGAGGTGGAGGTGAGGGAAGCTGGTAGGAAAATCCCACTCTATAGGGGGACTTTTTGGACAAGAGACAAAACATACCCATGGGTTGTCTCTTCGTTCTGAATATTCTTTCTTCTTCCCTGTGTCTAGGATTGAGTTGTACCTTTCCCCACAGACTCCAGACCTTACCTGTAGGACAGCACGGTTAAAGAATTATTCTTCTGTGAAGAAAATGTTATGGAAATTTGGATCCTTCCCTCATTAAAATGATATATAGTAATATTTTCATTAAATTTTTTTGCTACCAGAACAGCAGAAATTGGAATTCACTGTGTCAGCAATTTACCAATACCTTTATTGTAGATTTTTGGAATCTCCATATTTTCTGATACTGTCCTGTGAAGGAAAATAGTTTTAAGGGAAGTGGCTTTGATGAACTTTGAACTGTTGAAGATGCTGGAGTGACTTAAGTATAAAACAAAGTATTTACTTTTCCTAAGACTTACTTGGCTTTTCCTTTGGGAATGTGAAACCAAATGGTCAGCTTAGGTGAGGAATAAAAAGGGTGTAGTAGTCATGTATTCTAAAACAGTCATACATTGTGCACAGTCAGCTGACTTTTCTTAAGTCAGATGGGTAGCGTCTGGAAACAGATCTCTTACCTTCATTTTTTCTGCAGAGGAAGTACTTAGAAGATAGATTCTTTTAATTTGGTAAAGGTTGGTATGCTGGTTTAGGCATCTGATTTAGGGTTTCC